TGCCCGCCTAACAGTAACTTCAGACATGCACCTTCCTGAGAGCCCCACAAATCTCCTCACATTGCATATTGTAACTGTAAACTGTAACTGCAAAGTAAGCAGCCTTCCTGATACTCTAAACAACAATATGGTTATGGCTCTAATGACCTAAGGTGACTTACTGGTATAAATAAATGTGACTGCTTGGACAAGGAGCTACTCTGCCACCTTCCCTGCCTCTGCACCTTGTCTCTGTGTCACCCTTTATTATTATTTTTTCTTTACAAGACCTTGTCTCAAAGTAAAAAATATGAAGGGCTGGGGATATGGTTCAGTGGTAAAGTGCCCCTGAGATCAATCCTTGGTACCAAACAAATAAGAATCGGCACATGTTCCAGGCCACCATTGAGCTGCCATTGCCCACGGATGTCGGGGTGTCTCCCTTTCTCCAGAGCACAGCCATGCGGCAAGTGACGACAGGCATCCCTGGGAAGGCAGAGAGGAAGAGTCACCAGTCACACAGTCACTGTATGACCACAGGGCAGGGACCTCCTTCAAAGGTCCTTCCCAAAGCCACTTGAGGTGTGAGAAATGGCCTAGGTCTGAACGGGAGGGAGTGCTGTGAATTCTCTGTCCACAGGCAGTCACGTTTCTGCTGGGAGACCGAGACATGGGTCACTTACACATCAGCTTGCACCTCGGAAGGCTGCCCATCTAAGTCCACTCTAGGGTCTTCAAGATCAACTAGCTGTCTCTGGCAGGCCAAAGCCAAATGATCGCTCTGTCCTAAGGCACAGTAGGATAATTGTGTCCCTTTGTTCTACCGGTGGTGGTACCTGGCCTAGGCCCCACTCGAGGACCCCATCATTTCCACTTTGATAATCTGTTTCCCTGGGCCACTTCTGGTACCAATCACAGAATCAGCCCCGTTAAGAAACAGCACATTCAAGATTAATAAAAGAGCCAGGTGTGGTGGCGCATGCCTGTCTGTAACCTCAGCAGCTCGGGAGGCTGAAACAGGAGGATGGTGAGTTCAAAGCCAGCCTCAGCAAAAGCAGGGCGCTAAGCAACTCAGTGAGACCCTGTCTCTAAATCCAATACAAAATAGGGCTGGGGAGGTGGCTCAGTGGTCAAGTGCCCATGAGTTCAATCCCCAGTACTCCCTCAAAAAATAAATAAATAAGAGTCACGAAAGTGAACTGAATAGAGACTGTACAAAAGTGAGGGCAGGGTTGGAGAAATCAACAAGGGATCCACCATCGTTAGCCCTGATGGGAAAACAGGAGAATGGTGACTTTGTGTCACCTTAGGTTGGCTGAGTCTGTGTTCCTCAGAATTCCCTTTCTGTAGTTTCCAGTGAGGGTAGGCCACAGAGGACATTTCTGCTTGACATCCAGAGGGATGGAGCAGCAGTCATTTTGCTTGTGTACTCCGAAGGCATCTGCTGTTCCTTACCTGCTGGCTCTCTTGGTGGACTGAGCCAGGAGAAGGCCCAAGAGTCCTCTCCCTTACCAGGGATCTTCCTTTTGCTCATCTAGCCTCTGGGCTAAATCATTAGGAAAGTGACAAGGGCACCAACTTCTCCTGTAGGACGCCGATTGACACAGGTCCATCTGTCTTTGTGGGGTCTGCTTGTCTTTGTTTTTTGCCCACTTAAGGTTCACCTTTCCTTCCTGACTGCCTGGCTGTGGATTCTAAGCTCCAGCATGGGACATAGGGTCAACCATGTGACAATTTCCCTGCAATTGTCTAAGGTCAGGTCTTGATAACAAAACTATTGATCTACCAATCTGTCATCTATAGACATACACCTCTGTTTCTGATTGAACCCTGAGGGACACAGGGAAGAAATTATTTTGGTTTCTGAGGGCAACTGGCTAGGACCCCAACCAGATGCCTGATGGCAAGAGGCCCTGGCTGACGGTGACACAGGTCATGGAAGTCTGCCCTAAGTGTGTGGAGGGGTAGAGACCAGGATATCCAGAAGCACCTGACCTCTAAAGAATGACCCTTGATCCAGATAAGCTGGGGTTAGCCACGTTAGGATACTCAATGACAGAAAAAGCTAACCAGGAATTCCCAACCAAACCGATCTTCAGATGAAGTAAAGCCCCCAGGTACAGAATGAGCACAGTAACTCCAGGTTCTAGGTGAACAGGAAGAGAAAAGGGAAGAAGTGATTACCAACCAATTTCATCATGAACTGAGAGTAAGAAACTAATAGACTGTTGTTGAGAACCACAGCCGAAGGGGCCCCAGCAAACTTCCAGCTGCCAGCAAACTTCCAGCTGCCGGCTGATGATTGGCTCACAGCGGCCCCAGCAACATCTAGCTGATTGGCTCCTCTGCGGTGATGCTCATTGGGCTGTTTCCCTGCCCTTTCAGACCACGGAGCTGCTCATTGGGGGACTTTTTTGGCTCCGCCCATGTGACCCAGCCAATGGGCCTCAAGAGCAGGAGGATTGTGGGAGGTGGGGAGAAGCTTGGGTGGGAGAGAGAGGCTTGTGGAAAGCCGGTGGTGGCAGTTGAGGCTCTGAGGGTTTTTCCTGAGAGGCTGTTTTGTTTGGCGTGTGTGGTTCTAAAAATAAAGTTAGTTTCTTTTGACAAGTGGCTCCTGATTGTGCCCAGCCAGACTGCGGCAGACTGTGTCTTCCCTCCTACTCCCTGTAAAAAACAGGAGACATTAAGGCATTATATAAGGACATTAGTATAATGGTAACTGATAGAACGGAAATACAAACTTTCTTAGATACCCAAAGACATAGCCCACAGTGCTATCCTGGGGGAGAAGAAAAGGAAGATATAAATTTAAAGCAATATGGCTGAACTGAAATCAAATGTGTTAGTCATATAAATAATACCAATTGATAAAACCTCTCCCCCATTTTTTTCTCACAAAATGGTCTAATTCCCCATTTCATTTGCAAAAAAGGAACATTTTAAGATAAATTTCAGTGCAGCTGGTGCCTATTTCTTGAAACTACCCCACTGCTGAGAGCCATGGCCGAGTCTGTATGGCCCCTGGCATTTTGCCAACAGTATTGGTTGACAGGCGAGGCATTACTATCCGCCTCGGCCGCTACTTTTGAGTTCTCGCACTACTTTGGAGATTCCCGGGGATTCCCCAAGAGTTCCCATTGGTTGGGGAAGTGCAGGAGGAGGGATTTCAGGGAGAGATATTTCCGGCTGGGGGTTCCTGGACGAGCGGTGTGACATTTGGGAGAATTCCCCGGGAGCGTGTGTGAAGTGTTTTCTTGCAGTTCAAAAATAAAGTTTGATCCTGCATCAGTGGTTCGTGATTTGTGCCCAGCCAGACTGCGGCACCCCACTGTTCTGTGGTTCCCTGGTGACAATGGCCTCAGCAATCTCACCCGTGGGCCTTCATGTCCCAGTGCGGGCTCCTCCCACACCATGCTAAGGCTGGTCTGTGGGGCCACGAGGATGTAGAGAAAACGATGAGCTTCAAGAGATGCCATAGCGTCTCTCTTGGATCACTGTTCTAGAGAGATGCAGTTGTCCTGCTGAGAAGACAGGACAAGAAGCTCTATGAAGAGGAACTGGCCTCCTGCCAACAGCCACATGAGAGCCACTGTGGAAGTGGAAGCTTCAGCCCCAGTCTAGTCTTTAAATGGCCGCAACCTTATGAAAGACCCGAGCCAGACCTAGCTGGTTACTCCCAGATTTCCAAACCACCAAACTGGGAGATGATAAATGTCTATTTTAAGTTGCTAAGTTTGGGGGTAATGTGTGGTACACTAATAGGAAATGAACACATTATCTTGTATTACGGGTTGAACTGTCTCCCCAAGTTCATGATGAAGTCCTAATAACCCTCAGTACTTCAGAATGAGACCTCATCTGGAAATAAGGTTGTTACAGGCGCAACTGGTTAAGATGAGGTCTTACCTGAACAGGAGGGGTCCCTCATCCAGTATACCCTTATGAAAAGGGGAACTCGAGAACCATGAGGAAGCCATTGGAGATAAAATGCCTCAAGCCATGGAAATACTAGAAGCCAAGAGAGGCCTGAGACAGACTTCCTCCAGCACCTTCAGAAGACACCAAAGCTGTTCAACCCTCGACCTCAGACTTGAGCCTCCAGAGCTGCAAGACAACAGACTTCTGTTCTGGACCCACAGTTTATGGTAGTTGTTATGGCAACCTGGGAAATGAATAGGCTCTATTGTATGTAGTCTTTTTCTCTTTGGCTATTCCTTTTTTTTTTTTTTTGTGGGGGGGGGTACTGGGGGTTGAACCCGGGGGCCCTTGCCCACTGAGCCACATCCCCAGCCCTATTTTGTGTTTTATTTAGAGACAGGTCTCACTGAGTTGCTTAGTGCCTTGTCATTGCTGAGGCTGGCTTTGAACTTGTGATCCTCCTGCCTCAGCCTCCTGAGATGCTGGGATCACAGGTGTGCACCAGATGGCTACTTTAAAAATTTTTTTTTTACTAAATTGGTTTTGGTTTTTATGTCTTGAAATTTGATTTTGATTGGACTTGTGCTTTTTGTTTCTTTCCTGTTCGGGGTTCATTGAATTTCTTGATTTGAGGATTTACATTTTTCACCAGATTTGAAAAATTTTTTTCTTAACACATAGCTTTTCCATATATAATATTAAATCAAACCAAAAATAAAAACAATGCAGTGATGGGTAGAATCATGGTTTTTCACATAACCCAGAGTGAGTGGGCAACAGAAGGCATAGCATGATATATAGACCCCAGTATGCAAAACCAGTCAAGAAACACAGAGCAATCACTGGGTTCACTTAAAATAATACATTTTACAAGATCAAAGAAAAATATTAAGGGATAAATATTGTTCATATTAATATTGTTCATATATAAAATACATGCACATGTGTATACTTATGTCCATTGTGCTGAAGGACATAAAATAAGAACCAAATAAGCAGGTAAATAAATAATGTTTATACTGGGTTCTCTGAAGGGCCCCAAATAAAGAGCACCATTTTCTCCCACCTGAATAATCAAAAATTAAAAGCAGCAGCAACAGCAGTTACGGGTCAGGATGAGGCCTTTATTACAGATGAAGACAGATTTGGAGAAGGCAACATGGCATGACCACCAAATGGGCCAATTAGCTGAATGACAGAATGAGGCCAATGTGCTTACTTAGTCACTGGCAATACCCATGACAGGAAATCATACTTTCAGGAAAGCCCACAATGAAGACAGAAAACCGCTGAGTTGAGCAAGCCTGTTACTCTCCCCAGATTTACCAACTAGGTGGGCTCACTTTGTGCTCCCTGGCCAGAATGCACAGAGGCAGAGAGAGGCCAGGAAAGGGCTTAGGGAAAAACCCACTCAGAAATCAGGACTCAACATGATCTCCATAAAAACGGCCTAATCACATGCACCCATACAATATAATTTAATCATCATTACAGAGGCCCCTTTCTCAGAATTTGATAGATGAATTCTAAAAAAACACCCCTATGATATGTAGTAGTGTAGTTAGTCCTCCTAATTGTCACCTTTGCAGATAAAGGGATGGGGTCTGTTACCAGAACAGATGGAGACAGAAGACAGAAAACAAACTGTCTAACCTGATGATTTAATATACCATAAATCTCTACATTAGCAGTTAATCAACTGTCATAAGAAAAACTGGCACTGATTTAAAATGAAGTAAGATTAGACCTTCACACCTGCTGACACATTATCAAGTAACACTGAAGAGAACAATAAAGTAACAAACTTAAATAACACTTCATTTTTTTTAAAGGGAGGCACACTTGGCGTAGTGTCTGAATTGCTGACATTTTCAGAGTTCACACTGAATGTGATACCACGTGTATTAAACAAACTGTGTCGTTGTGTAAGCTCTCTGATAGTATGGTGAGGGCTGACCTGTGGCAGAAAATTTTCCCATGTTCCTTACACTGAAAAGATTTCACTACCCCATGCATATTCAGTTCTAGCTTTATGTAATTACTTGATTTGTTGCCTTGCTGAACTTACTCCTTATGAGTTTTCTTATGTAAAAGGAAGTTTGATTTGTGGCGAAATGTTTTCTCACATGCATTGCATTCATAGGGTTTCTCCCCTGTGTGTATTTTCTGATGCTCAGTGAGTGTCCACAGACGACGGTAGGTTCTCCCACATTGGTTACATTCGTATGGTTTTTCTCCTGTGTGAATTCTCTGATGGACTCTGAAGGCTGACTTATGGCAGAAGGATTTCCCACACTCTCTACATCCGTATGGCTTCTCCCCAGTGTGAGTTCGCTGGTGTTCAGTAAAGGAGAACTTCTGGCAGAAGGTTTTCCCACACTCATTGCACTCGTAGGGCCTCTCCCCCGAGTGTGTTCTCTGATGGTGAGTGAGAGCTGACTTCCTGCAGTAGGTCCTCCCACACTCACTGCATGCGTAGGGTCTCTCCCACATGGTCCTCTGGTGTGCAAAGAGGTGTGAGCTTCTGTTGGCTGCATGCCCATGCTCATGACACTCATACAGATTCTCCTTTGTGTCCATTCTCTTATGGTCACTGCAGTTCAGCTTCACCACGGATGTTCTACTGCATTCATTAAACACCTCGTGCTTCTCTCCTGTGTGGGTTCTCTGGTGTATCGTGAGTGTTGACTTATGGCAGAAAAACTTCCCACATTCACTGCATTCGTAAGACTTCTTTCCTCTGTGAACTATCTGATGTGCCAGGAGGGCTGATTTGGTGCATAAGAATCTCCCACACTGACTGCATTCATAGGGCTTCTCTCCTGTGTGACTTCTTCGGTGCACATTGAGGGCTGACTGGCAGAAGAAGGTTTTCCCACACTGACTGCATTCATAGGGCTTCTCTCCTGTGTGAATTCTCTGATGTGCAGTGAGCGCTGATGGGCAGAAGAAGGTTTTCCCACATTCCTTACATTCATTTGGCTTCTCTCCTCTGTGAGTTCTCTGATGTACCATGAGGTAAGATTTCTTGCCAAAGGCATTCCCACATTCCTCACATTCATAAGGTTTCTCCCCCGTGTGTGACCTGAAGTGCTCAGCGAGGGCTGACTTCCGAAAGAAGGTCTTTCCACATTCATTACACTCATAGGATTTCTCCCCTCCATGAATTTTCTGATGCACGATGAGGGCAGATTTGTCAATGAAGGCTTTCCCACATTCGCTGCATTCATAGGGTCTCTCTCCGGTATGAATTCTTTGGTGTCGAGTGAGGCTGGTCTTCACGCGGAAGGTTTTCCTACAATCATTACAAACATAGGGTCTCTCCCCTGTATGAATTCTCTGATGCACAATGAGGGTGGACCTCTTAGAAAAGGTTTTCCTGCATTCATCACATTCATTTGGCTTCTTTTCAGCACATCCTGTCTTCTCTGCAGAGAGGAGTGCCCTCCTGAAGAAGGGCTCCCCACACTTATTGTGGTCAAAAGGTTGTTTCCAAGTCTGAATGCTCTGCTGCAGAAGATCTTCCTCCTGACTGCTGGCTTCCACTGCTTGATTATAGTTGCATTTTTTCATTCCAGAATGACTTTCTACATGCTTAGCATGGAGCAGGGCCTTCCCACATCCACTATGTTCATCAGGAACCTTTATATTTTCTTTGCTTTTCTTTGCAACAATTATTTCTGAATTAGTTTTGAAACTGTTGCCACCTGGATCACATTTGTAGGGTATTTTTCTTGAGGGAACAAGATTCATGCCCAGAGTAAACATTGTTCCAAATGCATTCACTCTTTTTGTAATGAGTGTTGTGCTGTTTTGACTCAAATATTTGTCTTGAATTTCCTTGTCCTTCTCTAAGGCATCATCATCTTCTAAAAAGAAGCACAATTAACAATAATTTGTGAGTCTTTACACATTTTCTATGCAAAAGGAATCTCCACAAATGCCTTGTACTAGGGGATCAGACTGCAGGCCAAGCCTCACAGAAGTAAAGAATTTAAAGTGCAAATATCTCCTACTTTGTTGATTTTGGAAAAGAAAACAGCAAACTCATCCATGTCAGTCTATTAACAGTGTCAAAGGAAGAGGAAACTAGCAAAGAACCTTTGACACTTTATACTCTAAACACAGGGAGGAAAAATAAAAGTCACAAGGAACAGTTCACCAAGCATACCACAAGTGTAGCAGACTGGGTAGGGAAATAGACAAGAGTCCAGTGAAGACTTCAGGGAAAGACAGTGATGCAGTGAGACTAGGCACAGCAGTTCTCAGGAAGACAATCAGTGTTATCGAAAAGTATGAGAAGGAAGAGGTGAATGTGGAATTTTTACAGTGATACGGGAATTGTACAAATAAAAAGAAGAACGGGGTGGGAAACTGGGAGTGGAGCATGGCCCAGACTAGAGGGAGGCAGGGCCCCTCAGACACCTGTACAAGCCTGAGGGGGGGGGGACTTACAGCTGGAGTGCTAGGAGCTTTGTTTGCCTAATTCTAAACTGTTATTTCTCAGTTAAATCACACACAGAAGAAGGAACTAGAAAAACCATGCAAATCAAGCAAGATTTACTAAGACAGATTGATGAATGTCTAGGTGTAAAACATGTCCACGACAAGACTGGATAGGTCAAGGTAGGCAGGAGAATACTACAGAAATAAAAGAAGCCGAGGCGTGGTGAAAGAGGAACTTAGATTCTGGGGCTAGGTAACTTAAGAGCAATAATCTTTATACATTTCAATTAAAGGAATATATTTATTAGGGGACAAACAATATTTTCAGTAACTACAGTTAATTTTCCTCAATTACTTCCAAAGATCTGGGTCCTATAAAGAGATTCCTAAAAAAAAAAAAAAATTATAAAGATGCCAACTGTGAAGCTGGGTGTGGTGGCACATGCCTGTAATCTCAGTAGCTCAGGAGGCTCAGTAAGAGGATCCAGAGTTCAAAGCTAGCCTCAGCAACTTACCAAGGCCCTAAGCAACTCCAGGAGATCCTGTCTCTAAATAAAATACAAAAAAAGGGCTGGGGATGTGGTTCAGTGGTTGAGTGCCCCTGCGTTCATTCTCCAGTAACCCTCCCCCGCCGCAAAAAAAAAAAACCCACAACAACAAGATGCCAACTGTAGTTGCTGGGCATCTGGGAACTCTCATTTCCTTTGGTTTCCACCTGCTCAGTTATCATTTATTTACCTGTGTAGCTCTCCCTTGAAATTTCCTCCACTATCCATGGTTCTTCTCCTTGCTCCAATTTGAAGATCACATCTGGTTTGCTAACACGAAACCCTGTTAATGGTAAATGACACAGAATTTTGACCAAGCTCTTTGGACTTCAGGATCTCTGAAACATGAAGAAAATAGTTTCAGAAGCCATGCAATGAAGGTGCCCAGCAAAAGCTCAGTGAAGCCAGAATGTTTTTGTGAAGGGCAGGAAAGGACAGGGAGCATGTGTGTGCTCGCTCGCTCTCTCTCTCTCTCTCTCTCTCTCTCTCTCTCTCTCTCACAAACACACAACATACCTACTTCTATTGCCTAAAATGGCTTTAACATTTTTCTTCTCTAATACTGAAGGCTATGTAATTAAATTCTAGAATTTCAACATGTTCTTGTGACAGAAGAAAAGCATGCTCTTAGGAGGTGCACAAGGAAACGTTGCTCACCCACTGAGATGAGGTTGCTATAGTTCTCCAACATCACATCCCTGTACAAAAGCCGCTGATCAGGGTCCAGTTGTTGCCACTCTTCATGGGTGAAGTTCACAGTCAGGTCCTTGAATGAAACTGATCTCTGAAAGAATTTGTTTAATCTGAGATGATTAGAATTGAGTGACACCAAATCTATGGAACATCACAAATAAGGAGACCACTGCCAAGGCTTATGGTAAGCTATAGAGAGATGTGCTCTGTGGGAGGGTAAAGCATCAGAAATATCCTGTCACTATGCTCATTTTTCAAATAAAAAATTTAAGTGTACTGAGTTTACACCATGCCCTGGAGTGCTTGATTTCCTGGATTACTAACTCACATGAAATACTGACCCTGCTCTTTAGGAGCACACCTTCTCACTGGGTGATATGAATATAAATACACACCTTCAGCAAAGATAAAGGGCAGTCACAAAAGGAGAAAGTTCTAATTTATGTTAAAGGAGTCTTCCTTTAGAGGGGTCAATGTTTGTCCTGAAATAAAAACTGTTTTGTAGGAATATGAGCTGGACTGAGGGACCTTTCCCTAAATTAGTAGTCTTGAATTTTGGGATCGTAAAACTCATCAGTAAAACTTGCTTGCATATAACCAATATACGTTTACTTAGAAACTATAACGTAATTCTGAGTTACTTTAAGCTATATATTAATATCAAATAAAGCCTGATAATTTTATTCTTTTAGTCAAGATAATATATGAATAGAAAGAAGCCCAGGGGCCCAGGGCTGCCCCTTATTCTCTCCACTTTGGAGACCACTATTGTGAATGATGGAAATCCATAGAGATATTTGCAAGCAAGGACTGGAGTTTCACAATCAAATTTGTATTTCACAAGTAATGCTCTAAACTGGGAGCATGGTGCATGCCTATAATCCCAGCTACTTGGGAGGCTAAGGCGGGAGGATGCAAATTCAAGGCCAGCATTGGCAACTCAGTGAGACTTTGTCTCAAGACAACAAGTAAAAAGTGCTGGGGGCAGAACTCAGAGGTAGAGAAGCTCTGGGTTCCATCACCCCCACTATTGTCCCACCCCACAAAAGCAATGCTCTAAAGTACAAGGGTTGGCAAAGTACAAGCTCCAGGTTGTAGGCCAAATACAGCTATTGAGAGCCAAATCTGGCCATGCCCAGTCGTTCATATGTCTGCACTGCTTCCATGCTATAGCTGCTGTGCCAAACAGGCTGACAGAGACTATGTGGCCAGCAAGGTCAATGATAATCATCTTGTGGTCCTTTAAAGAAAACATCCGCTGACCCATTATCTGAAAAAGAGAGTGGCCTAAAGGTCAGATTGGGGGGAAGAAAACTAAGATGTCCTCAAGTAGGAAGAAAACTAAGATGTCCACAGGTAGTTCCAGTGCAGAAGAAGGGCATCAATTCAACATGATGAAGGGCAGAGGAGTTGGTCATTGGTTGGTTGTGCAGTAGGAGGTGCAACACCCAGACAATTTGCATGATCAGCTGGGTAGATGCAAGCGCTGTATGCGGAGATTAGGGAATCAGGAAAAAGAAAAAAACTGAGCTTGAAGTGCCTGTGGACTTCAGAAGTAGAGACGTCAGTTGGCAGGTGGAAATTTGGTGACTGGAAGGAAAATCTGAAGGCATAAACAATGAGGAAGTCTTTATGATTTCCAGGCTATATCGTTAAGTGAAAAAAGCAAAGCACAAAAGAATATGTACAACACACTATATTTTATGTAAAAGAAAATAACACGCAACCATCATGTGTGTATAAAAGAAATACAGTGAGAATAAACCAGAAACCCACAAACTTGGTTACAGGGGAAGAGTGGGAACAGGTGGAAAGTATGGGGGTGAGGGAAAGGGCAGAGAGAGGGGAGTGGCACTTCTCTACATATCCTTCTGTACAGTTCCAGTTCCCAAAACAAGTAACTACGATCACACGGGATAGGGAAGGGAACTCCAAACAGAACACAAAGAGTGACATCTGAACACCCAAATTAACAATAAGTCACACCCACAGTGAAAGGGATGAGGAAGGAAAGAACTATCCAAAGTGACTTTAGAAAAGAGCATTTGACTACATTCAGTAAGACTAAGTAAAATCAACTGTATACAATTATATTTAGTTAGGAAATTTGTTTCTCACATGGGGTGTGGATTGGCAATTCTTAAAATTACCTCCTGTGTATAGCTGGATGAGAAAATAAGTAAACAGAATGCAGACTACAAGAGCCAGATTCATTCCTCTGAAACAAAGGAATTATAAATAAGGAAAGGGGAAGGCTAGAATGAACCCTACAGGGTACTGGCCAATAAAGTGTCAAGGTCATAAGACAAAGAAGGACTGTGGCAGATTGATTGCAAGAGGCTACAGAGACATAAGAGCTAAATGCACGGTGGGATCCTAGGCTGGATCCCTGAAATGAAACGGTACCAGTGGGACAACTGGCAAAATCTGAGACGATAGATAACACTACTGTATTAGTGTTCATTTTTTGTTTTGATCACGGTACTATGATTTCAAAAGACCAGGGGAAGTAGGTTAAGGGTATGCAAGTACCTTGCCTGTGATTTTTTCTAATTCTTTTTTAAGTCTAAAATTATTGCAAAATGAAGCAGTAAAAAAACAGTGCATCTCCAGCTCTGTATACCCTCATGCAGAGGGTATGCAGACATATCCTGCACATTCACCCATTCATTCCATGGCTGTCCTGGCTCACCTCAGTCTCTCCTTCCTCAGCCTGCTATGTATCTTCACACTGGCCCACTTTATTAGATAATTTAATGACACCCTTCCTTCCATAAATAACTGTCTCCTATACATAAGCTAGAAACAGTCACAATACCCATATTATTTCCTCTAAAGTAGCTATAAGCCTCCTGACAATAAACAGTGTCTTACAATTGCAGGCACAACAGACATGTAAGGTCCTAATAACTGCAAAAGGCCTGTGAGAGTAAAGAGCCGTCACTAGAGTCCTGTATTCATGAAAGCAGACATGGTGGCCTGTAACACAGGTCCACAGTAAGAACAGTAACACACTCACCTTATAATAAACTCGATTCTCCTGGTGACTCAGGTCAACTCTGTAAGCAACTCTAATGGACTGATAATTCATTCGGAGCAGAGGAGAGTTCACAGGTGACCCTCAACAAAGAAATGTAGAGCACTACTCTCAGTAGGCACAGAGAGGAATGCAATATGGGCCCGCACCGCCAAAAACAATGGCCTTACTTGTGTGGAGACCCACAGGTAATGTGCAGACCCTACACTGATGCAGAAATGCAGACAGCTATAATGCTGAACACAGCCCAGGGGGCAGAAGACAAGAGGCAGGAATGGGTTCTATGAAGAAATGGCTCCTGGCTGTGGTCACAAACAAGTGAAGGTGAAAAGATAAAGAGCCAGGGAACAATCAGCACATTAGGCACATGCAGGAGCATAAAATTTGGGACATGCTGAGGAAACTAAATGCACTCACTCAGCACTGTAGCAGTGCTCAGCATGGTTGACACCTGGCACACGGGGCATTTTACACCTCTGCTCAGGAAGTTTGGACTGTCAATGTTCTGTGGCACGCTGCTGAATTTGGAGGGAGAGGGAACAAGGGACGGTAGACTTCCTACAACACAGGACAGTTTCATACAGGAAAGAAATGTCCCAAGTCTTCTGTAATTTTCTAGTGTCCTAAATATTCCTATAGATGATGAATCTATTCATAATGATCTGAGCCTAGACCCTTATTCCATTTTACATTTGAACATATATGTATTTATATTTATTTTTTTCTCATGTAGACTAAATTTTCTTGAAATGAAATACTGAATATATCAGGGAACACGGTTATTTGATTTGGATCGGAACTTTAGTAATTTTCATTCTTTGAAAAATATCTCTAATGGAAATGCTGCCAATGATATTTGAATTACACCTACAAGTTGTAAATTTGTAATTATCATATCCAGTCTCTCAACCTCTAGGTTTAAAAATCAGGCTATTACTCTGACTTTTCATGTATCTGTACAAATCCATATTAAAACATGTTTTAAGTTACTTGGCTTTTATTTCTCCTATACAGTTATGCTGATTATATAAAATTATATAAGATTATCTGTGATTTACAAACCAAGACAAAGGGAAGAAGTGTTTTAGCTGGGATCTTCAGAAAACAGAACCTAAGGCAAAGACTAAAGTACTAAAGGGAGAGAGGAAAGGGCAGGCAAGAGCAATGAGATGTGAGAGGCCTATCACACTGTGCACTTCACATGGGTTCCAAAGAGGCAGCAGGTACCTCAGCAGGAGCATGTAGTGACCCATGGAACTTCAGAAGGACCACAAAGTGAAATTGACCTTGGAATGTCCATGGATGAGAAAAAGATGTGTCAGTTTATCTGCCCGCCTCCTCATTTCCCAAGGGAAGTCACCTTGCCTACACGTTTGGGTTGCACCATCTAGTTCCATTATGGCTCCTTTATGAGGCCAGAAACCATACCTCATGGTATGTTGTTCCACCCTGTGTAAAAGAGAAGGCAGATGGCGTGGGTAGACATCATCAAATAAGAGAGAAGTAGGAGATGGTGGAACATGCATAGTTTTTGTCTTCTTCAAAATATTTTGGTCAAAGGATATTTGGTCTGATGCCGTTCTTCTGAACTAGCTTGTGAGCTCCATGAGAACAGAGATAATATCTCTTTTGTCCACACTATACACGAAGTACCTAGCACAATGTTTGGCATGTAAAAGTTGATCAAAACACAGTTGTTGAATGAAAGGTCTAGAGTGGCAGGAATTAAAAAGAATAGCCTTATAAGTCCCACTAAGAATACTGAACTTTTATCCTGTAAGTAAGTAATATGGTCATACTTAAGTCGTTTTCATATGAAAAGACATGATCAGACTGGCATTTTAGAGGGTTCATTAAGCACTTATAAGTTTTCAGGTGGGAACAGTATGTAGGCAGAAAGCTATTATGACAATCAAGTGACAGAAACTGGGCAGAAGAAGTAAGTATGGAACAAATTCAAGAAATATCTATTAGACATTAGCAAGGCTTGGTAACTAGACATGGTATGAGGTAAGGAACAGGAAAAATTAAGATGTATCCGATTTTCTGGCTTGCATAACTGGTGGGATGGTAATGGCAATGATAGGGAATAAAGAAGAGGAGAAAACTGACTGCAAATATTATTTCTATTTTGGACAGGAGGACTCCAAGAACTTTCTGAATATCTTTATGGAGATGTTCAGCAAGGACCTCAAGCTGAGGTTATTAGAGGTAGAAAAAGATTTCAAAGTACAAAGAATTATAAGTTAAACCATAAATGGCATGAAAAACATCAGAAAGAATAATAGGATAGCAATGGGACAATGATTTTGAGGTACAAAAGGGAAGAAGACTATATAACAGAGACAATGATTAGAGAGTTAGAAAGAGAATCAGTGATTTCACAGAAATTATTGGAGGTGCATTTTGGGGCAGGGTGGTCAGACTGTCAAATGCAATAATCAATCTGAGAAAACATGAACTGGAAACAACCCACTGCATTTGAAAATATTTAGGTTGCTGCTAACTTTACTAGAAGAGATCTATGGGAGAGGCAGGAGCAGACAAAGACCACACACAAAGTGAGTTAAATCAAGAAGAGCAAGTGAAGTTTTACCTACAGAATATAACATTGAATTGCTACTTGTAAAACTTGTCTTAAAAGTATATCTGAGAGAAACAGTTATAGACTATTATCTGCAGAATGTGCAATCGATTTATTCTCGGTTTCATCAATGGACCATGGACAATCATCAGATTGCCATCTACTTGGATGACGATGAATTAGTTCTCTATGATTAATGTACTTTGCCTGGCTATCAAAGTCACAGGAAACCCACTGCTTCCCCCCCCACACACACAACTGCTTTTCGTAATGCTGTCTTTGCATTACTTATTTAAAGACTATTTAAGAAAACGTCTATGTATATAAATGAAAGAAAACCCATGCTAATAGCCAATGTAAGGCGAAATCTCCTTGCCTGGGCCTTTTTGGAACAATTTGAATACATCTATAGGATTTCTGCTTATTTAGGCTGACTTTTCCAGAATTGATTTGATACTCTTACTCTCTGATGGCAAATTTTATATACTGCTTCGATTTCACCTGAACACAAACTGTAAACCTCTTAAAATCCACTGTAAAATCTGGGATGAAAATCCCTAAACAACTTACCTGCGATTTGTTCATTTTCAGGTGCTCTTGAGAAAGGGCCAAGAATGGTGAAAGCAGAGCTGGGTAAGGAAGAATGGGGAAGGGAAGCAGGAGAGGTCAGCTTAGACAGCAGCCCTTACAGTTACCTACAAAGACAGGCACACTTCCACTTAAGGAAATGGTCTTTTGACCAACCTGGTACAGAAGCAACAGGTTGGGGAATGTCCACTTACAGTTGTGAATTGATGACATAGAGCTTCTCTCCTTTTCTTTCTTTTTTTCCCCTCATGGAGTTTCTCTGAGTGAATGAATGTAAACAAATGTTTTCTACTGAATTACTGCCAATTTATGCCTCCTATGAAAAATTTAAAAATAACATGTGAGTCAAGTAATAGGAGATTGGATCAACAAAAGTTATTATATACAAAATTTGGAACAGTAGTTCAGCATTAAAATTGATTCTAGGATTAAAATATTTATTGTCATGGGAAAATATTGATGTCACTTACCCATTTCCCTACTAATTATATTTAGTCAATGAGATCAGAGGATCCAGATAGAAGGAATCGAAGCGCTTTAAGATGTTTGTCTTTTTTAACGGTTGGTTTCCCTTAATCACAAGTTCACAAAAGAACTTTTTGCTAAGAAACTTGTTTTAACCTAAACGTGGTGGAGGACAGACTCCTGGTCTGGGAATTGAGAAACCAGGATTCAATTCTTGGCTGTCACTAGCAAATCGCACAGATGAATAGAATATTTACTTTCTAAATTCCAATTTTAAAATAAGGAAAATTTAAAAGGTTGTTAAAAACTTTTACCTCCACGGTGTGACTCTACACAGGGGAAATTCAATAAATCCCAGGAGTGGTGACTGTCATGGTTTGAGCGGCTCTTAATAAACCAGAAGTGGAGATCATAGGGAATGGCATGTACGCGGTTCGGAAGTGATGGAGAAACCATTTCCTCAGCTATGGCCAGCTCCCCGCCCCTCCAGCCAAAACCTGGCAGATCCTCCAAAAAATGGTCCTCCTGTCAAATCTGGGCCCTGCCCATTCCCTCCACGGCAGCTCGCATCCTTCTTCTCCAAGTTGAACTGGAGCTTTGTCGGGCCACAGTCACCCCCGGGTGCAGGTCCAGGGGCATCTGTGGAACTCTGGGCTCAGACTTTAGCACTTGATGCAAAAACCTCTCTCCTTCACCCAGCACCGTCTTCAGGAAACGAGGGGCTGCAGTGCGCCCGCCGCGAGGCCTGCGGGACAGGCGCCCAGCGCTGCCCTCCCTGCCCGGCTCCCGACCATCGGAACCCCGCGGCGGGCCTCCACGAGAGGGGCGCGCCTGCACCTCGCACACCCGAGGCCTGCTGCGCCCGGCCCCACCTTCCCCTCCGACCCCCGCGTGCTCTGGGCGCGCCGCCAGCCCTTCCTCTAACTTGCGGGCACACCCGCGTTGCTGTCACTCCGCCCCAGGCCAAGTTGACGCCAGGACGCGGGAAGGCTGAGGCTCTAGGACCCTCCCACGGAAGAGCCGGAGAACCGGAAGGGCGTCCAGGTAGAGGCCGGAAGCGGCGCGTGCGCAGCCGAAGCCGCCGGGCTTCCCTTCCCAGGGTTCTCCACGCGGCGCTCTCCGCCCTTCCGGGACCACATTACCCACAAGGCGCCGCGGCCGCCGCCCCGAGATGGAGAGGTCCCTCGAGGAGCGGGCGTGCTTGTCCCCCACTCTCGGTTGACAGCTGTGAACCACGAATTTAAAGAGAAGAGCTTCGTGTCAGTCTCCCCGATGGTTGTGGATGAGAAAGGGAAATTACAGACTGGAAGAAACTCCAACAGTGTGTAAAGAAAACAGGAAGGACCTGTAGGGTTTACTCCAGGGAATAAAAAGTAATGGCCGGCTTCCCAGAAAACACAAGAACCGGCTGCAAATGGAAGATAAATCAGAGTATCTGCAAATATCGCTGAAGAAAACAATCTAATAGCCGTGATCCCGATTCCCAGATGCCTGAGTTTAACATTAGATGCCCTTCTGACAATTTTACAGGAGGGGAAATCACAATTTATGGTTTATTTTAATAAAAATATCATGTCAATATATTTTAACAATATCAGTTACCTCACGTGTAACACGAATATATATGGAAAATGTTCCGCCAGGAGGACAACGATGAATGTGTTGTATACATGTTGAATAAATAAGGCTGTATGTTACTTTACTCATTGGAAGGCATGAAAGCTATACATTACTGTCAAGTTCCAGAAAAGAAATATAAGTAACTGTGGTTGCTAGCCTCCAAAAGTGGCCCTCAATGGACCAAACTTCCAAGTATTCAAGACTTGCATATTTTCCTTCTTGTGTTGAATTCGACTGATGTTGTGACTCCCTTTGACAAGGGAATGCATTGGAAAGGACGCTACCAGTTTTAGAAAATTAGACCTAAGAAGCTCTGGCAGCTTCAGTTTTGCCCTTTGGAGAGTTCTTCCACATTGCATAAGAAATCCAGTTTCCCTGTTAGAGACCAAGAGGATAGACCAAGAGTAGAAAGAAAGGTTCAGAGACCACCTAGAGAAAGAGAGACCTATCTGTCCCTGCAACCAGCTATGCCTCGCCTTTGGCTACCACACAAAGAAATCAGACAAAATAAGTGGAGCCATTTTGAACATAGAGGACAGGGAAGTCCCTAGATGACCTTGGCTCCTGATGAAATCACATGGAAAACTACCCAGTTGATCCAAGTAAATATACAGAGTGCAAGAAATAATGCATTTTTTTGTTTTAGGCACATAAACTGTGTGTGGGGGGTATTTTGTTATCCATCAACAAATGATTATTTATGAAAACTTATATGAAAATATGCCATTCTAAATCAACAAGAGAGACTTTTTGTTAAATGGATTATTGAAAAATCATGTGACACAATTCCCCAAACATTTGGAGTAAAAAATTAAACTCTCACTTTGCAAATTATAGTAAAGGTTGTTTGCATAGCTATACAAGCTGAAATTTAAAAAACAGAATATCAGATTAAGTAATTTTTTTTTTGCATCCTCAGGTATAGAAGATAGGATGCCTTAAGCAAAAATGTAGATGAAATGGTTGGTAAATTTGACTGTTAAAAACTGAAAAAAAAAAAAAAAAAACTCTTACTTCAGGAAGAAAAGATTCAAAAGCCAACTTAATGGAGAAAATATAAGTAAGAATTACAAAAGGCTCAATTTATTAACAGCTCCTTTAGAAATTAGTAAGGATTAGAATCTGAATTATTTTTAAAGAGATGGAGTAGAACATGAAAGACACAATTAATACGGAATAATTGTACTTGAGCCAGAGTTACTTATATGAAGCAACAGCCAGTAATACTACAGGCAATAAATGCAAAAAATGATCTTTTAAATTCCATATGAATTTTTTTGGCAGACTTGCTTGGCAAGGATTAAAAAGAATAATAAAGTGTTGTCATGAATTTGGAAAAAGTTTGCTCCCAGAGAGGCTGAGTGGGAGTATAATTCCTGTTACATTTCTAGGAGACATTCTGTACCCAAGTTGGATATTATATGCCCTTTTTATTCCAGCAACTCATCTTCTATGAATATCTCAAAGAAATAGTTGAATCAGTATGAAAATATGTATATCAAAAAAGTTCCTCATAATGATTTTAATCCTAACAGTAATAAAAAGGTGGAGAGAATCAATCTGCATGTCCACAGTAATGTATAGTTTAAGATAGAAGGCCTGATAGCTGTTTTAGATTTATTTGATGTACCATGTGAATTATGGGTATAATATTCACATTTTCAGTTATAGCTGTTTGTCTTAATATGATTTATTGATAACCTCATTTGTTATGCACTGCTTTGAGATGTCACCTAAGTTCTTGAAAATGTTTTGTCCACACAGGATCCTGTAAGGAGCCAGCACTTAATTATTTTAAACTAAACCAATTTCATATATACTAACATTATTCTGCTTTCCCTAAAATTTTCTGGATGTATCTTAAATATTCTATTAAGAAAAACAGAAGGCAAAGGAAGAGAAAACACTTTATGTACTAAAATGTACATTATTCTTATTGGAATTTCACTTAAAAAATAAAATTTCTTATTCATCAAGGAACATAAAATAAATGTCTACTTATTCAAGTTCTTGATATTTCAAATGTTCTGCTGCTGTTGTAATTGGGGATTTCCTTTTAACTTGTTTTCATTGCCATATAAAAACAATTCAGAGGCCTCAGTCCCACATACTCAAAATGCTGAGGCAGAAAGATCACAAGTTCAAGGCTAACTTGGATGACTTAGTAAGACCCTGTGTCAAAATAAAATAAAGAATAAAAAGGTATGGGGATGCAGTTCAGTGGTAGGGCATTCCTGGCATCAACCAAATTAAAAAAAACAAAACAAAAACAACAACCAAACCCCAACAACCCAAATCAAAACAAACAAACAAACAAGCAAACCAAAAGCCAATTGAGGTTATAAAGCTAAGATTTCCTGTATGTTTATTAAAAGCATTATCCTAAACATACACCTTTAGGATCCTACTATGGTTAAAGTATTAAAAATTGGACCAGTTATAGGGCACAGTCATTTCTGGGAAGGGAGATAACAGGCGATGGGATTTCTCTTTTTGATGTGTAATTTCTGACTGACTTACCATTTTTCTTGCATTAGCTGGTTTCGTTAATGATTTATTACTGTATAATAAACTGCCCCCAAACTCAGTGGCTTAACACACTGATATTTATTATTTCAGAGTTTCTGGGGGTGAGGCATTTTGACATGGCTTAGGTGGGTTCTGTGTTTTGGGATCTCTGACTGAACTCAAGGGGTCAGCTGTGCCTGTTGTGACATCAAGGCCAGCTCCAGAAAGGTCAGCTTCCTGGGTTGCTCACATGGTCATTGGCAGGACTTGGTTCCTTGCCTCCTGAGCCATTCTAGAGAGCAGCTCCCAGCATGGCGGCTTGAAGCAGGGGGAGTCACAGCCATGTGAAACTCAAGTCTCAAAGTGACAAGTGA